TAGAGACCAAATATTTCTCAATAAAACACAATCAAATAGGTTTCTCAGTAAAGCATTGCAACCAGAGACCATTAATGGTTGATAACTCATCAAAAGGAATTTGGGGGTAAAAACCAACCAGAATCACCACCAGATGTGGCTCCAGACCTCCCCCGTCCTCTGCCAACTCGACCTCTTCTTTGAGTAGCGGGAGATCCATCTACACATTCACAACATATTAGAAATTTAGAATGGATGCTTTTCCAGGGAATATTAAAACATAACACCCACCTCCTTCATAAAAAAAGGATCATAATCCCCTTTCACCTCCGTCACAGTTGCGACGGTGCACGAGAAGGAATTAGCGCCCTCGATGTCTCTCACACACGAAATGGAAGATGTGCCGGGCTGTGTCCCAGACGACTTCTCTCTTCTTCATTGGCGGTAGATGTGCCGACAAGATTTCTTTAGTTGGAGTTGCAGATCGTGAGAGAGGAGTTGAAGGGAAGAGGATTTGATTTAGGAAATAGTGGATCCGCCCAATTTGGGGGTTTATTCAAATTATTTTGTGAGAGGATGTGGCGAGATTTTACTGATATTTTGATTTTGAATAGCTGCCGGTATTTTGACTGCAAATATGACATGTCAGCATTTTGTATCAGATTCGGTAATATGTTGTGTACACATATCTTTTTCCAAAACATTTTGTATACCAGGAAGTACGTGTAGACTGGTCCATGAAATTAAGGCGTGGAAAGGAATGCGTATGCCTAAGCACCTATTTGGTAGAAATTAAAATTAAGATTTTAATCCAAATCAAAGTCTAATAATTAATTTTAACTACACATTTTACAAGATCTACAACTTTTCAACCACATATTTCATCAATTTTTTTTTATTTTTATTTTTACAAAATCTACTAAAAGTCTGATTTTGATTCCAACCAAACAGAGGCTAAGATATTAGATCTCGTTGTGACAGATGATGGTGAAAGCTTCATAAGCATACTATCTTTGACAGAGAAACAAGAATACTAAACATAGAAACAATTGCTGAGCATGTTATTTCTGAGCACTCTAACACATCCCTTTCAACGTCTAGGGTAGTTAATTCCTAATCATCAACCTTAGTAGCCAAGATATTGATGTCTAGGATATTGCTGGTAAGGGGTCAAAACCATTTCCGTACACGGGCCACATGCAACACAAATATGTAATATGGTCCTCGTCTGTTTAGGGATGACAAAAATACTAGTCAAATTTGACACCAACAGGGTGGGACGGGAATTACCTACTTAATCGTGTTGGGTATGGAACGGAAAATTTCCCCAAGGCGAGCGAGTATGGGGAACAGGGGCCCCGTTACGCCCTCGGGCACATTTAATTTTTTTTAAAGAATTCAATACTTTAAATGGAAAAATTTCATGAAATTTTATTAATTCTAATAGAAGAAGGCAACAAGGTTATATAAGAAATCTGATAAATAATAAAAACTTTAGTTTACCAAATATATTCGAATAATTTAATTTTTAAAAATAAATCATTTAATTAAAATTTTTAATAACTATATTATTGTCTCATTTGAATGAATAGGGGCAATAAGATGAATTATCAAAAACTTTATTGAAAAAAAAAAGGTTTAACAGGTATGTAAACAGGGCAATCACCCACTCTACCCCGTTTTGACTCAAACGGGTAATAGGGTGGGAAAATGCCCACCCACCTCCGCCCGCCCCACCGTCGCCGCTAACCCTACCTTTGGTGGAAGTCTCAAATTAATGAATATATGGTATGAAATTTTATATATTGTTTTTAAGAACTATTAGGCAATAACAATATCATATCTTATTTTAAAGGGTTTGCTGTCGATCCATAAAATACATAGAGTCACATGTATGGGGATCGGTCTAGTCCTATGACAAAATACAAAAAATCATTGCCACAAGAGGGCAAATGGAGAAAATAGTGAAAATCTAGAGGGCAATTAGCACATAATATTCTCACTTTTTACTGTTAATGTGAAAAAGTATATACCTTTTATTTTTTGACATTTTCACTCTTATTTCCACATTTCGTTGCGCAAAATATCATTTTTACCTCAATTAAAAGCTGTGAAAATGATGAATTTACTATTCTTTTTTTCTTTTTTAAAAAAAAAAAAGAACTAATTGCAATCATAGTTCCAAATTTTTTTAGAAAGTACAAACAAATTCCAAATAAATTAGTAAAAGAGTAATTTGCATGTCCCTACCTTCACTATTATTGTGAAAAATATTAATACCTTCTTTCATTTTTTGACTACTTTCATCTAATTTCTCAATAAAATCTGTGAAATGATGAATATATCATCATATTTAAATAAAAAGAAAAATAAAGAACTAATTGCAACCATAATCCTATTTTTTTTTTTAAAAAAAGTGTAAACGAGTCCCAGATAAATTATTAAAAAATAGAAAAATAAAAAGTAGAAATGATTCCCAAATAAATTATTAAAATATTTGAAATTAAATTTTTTTTATTTAAATAAGAAGGTATGTTTGTCATTTCATGCTTTATATTGAAAAATTGGATGAAAATGCATAGAAAGAATGATTTGCGCAATTAAAATGTAATTAAAGGTGAAAATGTCAAAAAAATAAAATACATGGACATTTTTTACAATAATAGTGAAATGTATGAACATTATATGCTAATTACCATTTTAATAATTTATTTGGATTCGTTTACATTTTTTTGAAAAAAAATTGGATATGATTGCAATCATTTTTTTCTTTTTTTTTTAAATTTAAATAGAATGGTATATTCGTCATTTTACAACTTTTAATTGAAAAAAAAAGTATGAAAAATGTCAAAAAATGGAAAGTAAGGACAATTTCCATAATAATAATGAAAGGTGAGGACGTGCTAATTATCCAAAATCTAAAACATAGTAAGGATGGTTTCCATAATAATAATGAAAGGTGAGGATGTGCTAATTACCCAAAATCTAAAACATGTGAAAACAAGATTGTACCCTTTATTTTTAAATTTTATTTCTTAAAATATAACTGTATAATTTGTACTAGACATACCACCAAACTACTCTTAGGATTGGCTAAATGTTCAAATCCCATCTTGGATTCAAGGCATCAATTTTCACTAAATTAGATTAGTAAAACTAAGGGGACAAGTTACCTCCTTTTTTTTTCCCTCTTTTTTTTTATGAGGGGGAAATCCGTAGTCACTACCTTTCGAGTGCGCACTGGATAAACTCTCGAATTTATGCAAAAGAGGACAAGTTACTTTGATCCTAGTAGAGGATGAGTCAAACTACAGAACATGGTTCTCGCCTTGACGTTAATTACAAAAATAAAAAGACAAACATTTCCATTTGATTTGCTTTAATATGACTTAATATAAAATATGAACATTTCTCATTTAAATTTAAATTAATATTTAAAAAATAATAATAATAAATGTAGGAAAGAATTTTTCCTTCCATACTTTCAAACCCGACCCAATCATCAATTTGAATAAATCATTGAATAGAATTCCCTAAAAATTCTTCGATTTCTTTTGAAAGCCTTCTCTCATTTTGTGAATAGTCGAGGCATTAATAAATATTCAGAAAAACACCTTGAGAGTCGGTGTGATTCTATTTCTTTTCCTTCCATTTGAAGAAATGAAAGATCCCAAAGTCTTCGGGTTACTAGTTCAATTGGTCTATGTATTAGTGGTTAAATTGGAGAGTCATTGCTTGTTCATGCATCCAAATAAAAAATATTTTTAAAGCATTTTTTTCTAAAAACATGGCTTATATGTATTATTCTATGTTAAGCCCATGTTTGGGCTCTATTAAAATTTTAATTCATTTTTCTCTCTTGTTATTAATGACACATTTTTCAATTAAATAATATTATATGTAAATTCAAATTTTTTATTCTTTTTTAACTATTTTTTTTTTCCAAAAACACTATTCTAAAATACATTTTTTTCTAGTATTACTCTTAAAACCACACGAATTTTATCAACTTTGAGTTTTATTTTTTTTAAATAAAGCTACAAATACCTAAAAAAAGTGATAAACATAAAACTTTTAAATTTCTATAGTCTAGTATATATAGTATTCTTAATTAAATAAAAGTTCAAGCGACAAAGGGAAAAGCAACATGGTATATTACCATTACATATGGATCGGCCCGGACTAAGCAGACCATCCAAATTTTAATTGAAATCAATCGATTTTGACGAGTATTTTCTCCGCTCAAAATATGCATATCAACCTGACACCGCTCGATTTGGAGAGTTTTGAGCTGACTCGATCGGACCAATTTTAACGATCGTGCTTACCTCTAATTTTCCAAAAGAGGGGGATTATGATGGGATGGGAGCGGCACCGTTCCACCTCATTGCCATCTTACTTGCACGAATCATAGTTAGAGGCCAACAGGCATGACTTTTAAGAAGTCGAAAAGAGTTTTTGAATTTATTTGACTAATTTTGTAAAAATACTTCTAATTAGAAGAGTTTCTAGATACAATATGATTTCCTCTAAAAACACTTTCGAAATAGAAAACTCTACGAAAAATTAATTCTTTAAATCAAAATTAAGGTAATTTCTTCTATAATTGTGCAAAAGTAAAAACCATATCAAATGGACTCTTACACAACTTAAGAGAATATGAATATTAATTATAAAACATATTTGAAAAATTAGCTGTGCTACCTGTACAGGCTCTTGCACAGAGCCTCTACAGGTGCACACACATGGATGTGGACCTCACACATAGGGTTCACGTGTGGGGTTCACGCACATGTGAGGAGGCTTTTTTCTCGAAAAATATCAAAACATATTTTTTTGGTGGGATTAGTTGTGGGCATTCCCTACGGAAGGATTAGGTTGTCATTTTTGCTTCATGATAAAAATATGTTGAGTTGACCAGTCAAAAGGAACATTTCCTTTTCAAACTGCAAACAGTTATTGTTTGAACGGTCCCATATTTTCCTTTGACTGCTATATACTAATCCCAGTAAACAGAAACATTGAATCAAGAACGTACTGCATAGAGGTTAAATGAATAATATATCAAAATAATCTGGATTATACAAATTAATTAACAATAATTATGATGCATCGAACTTGTAGTGTTTGTCAACTGCAACAGATACATCCCAAGTGCAACTCAAACCCTTTGGAATAACTACGAGATCTCCGGCTCCGAATTCGACCACTTCCGATGAATTTTTCGAGTGCACTTTCACTTTCCCTCGTAACAAATAACACGTCTCTTGTGCATCAAATTTTAGCAGATACTTCCCCGGTGAGCAACCCCACCTATTAAAAAAAACGACGTAAATATTAACGTACAGCAGAATGAAACTTTCCCCTCTTTGTCTTTCTTCTGCCTGTCAGCTCGAGAGAGAGAGAGAGAGAGACTTACTTGGGCCAAGATTTGATGCCGAGTTCATTGAGCTGAGAATCTGAAGGGCTATTTTGAACAATGATTCTGAGATTTGAGGAAGAAGGGTCTGATGAATTGGCTTCTGCAGCCATGGAGATTTAATAAATTGTTATATCTGAGTTTGAACAATGAATCGACGATGATATATATAGAGACAGATGGGATTCTAAAACGTGGGTTTTGAGGTTATGGATAAAGAAAATAGAAGGAATGGAATTGAAAAGCAACAATTAAGAGACCAAAAATTTGTTCCAAAGTACAAATAAATATCCTTTGACCTATCACATCCTATTAATGCTCATCTTGAACGTCTTGACCAAATAATTGTTATTTACCAAAAAATTTTTTAAAAAAAAAAAAAAAAAAAAAAAAAAAAAGGTGCTCTAACAAACACGTTTAATCTCTAATGATGATTTTGAAAAAAAATTCAAATATTGTTACTTTCTTAAAAACGGGTTTTTAGATGACTTGGTTCATTTTCAGTATTGAATAAGACAAAAGTTAAGATTAAAATCTTAGAAGTAATGTCAATTTATAATTACGGGTCAAATATTTCGATAATATGAAATATTTTCGAGCATGTTACTACTGTAGTTTAAGTAATTTGAAAAAGTGGTTAAAAAAATTTGACCGAATTAATGAGTAGTCTAGAATTGAAACTACAACTCATAATTTGATCAAAACCTAATATGTTGATTAACTAAATACTTAACAAATTTGTGCCGAGGTTAAAAATTCATTCAATTAGCTGGAGCCCCCACCCCACCCCCACCAAAATTTTTTTTCCTAACATAAATTTTTTTTTTTTAAATTAAATTTCTAAACTGCAAAAATATAGGAATGGAATCTTATGTAATCGTTGAATTGCGTCCTACAATGAAAAGGACAAATTTTAGCTTAAGACGGTAAAATGTGGCTTCAACAATGATGCTCCGTAGCTTCCAAACTGTTCGGAGTCTAAGCTTCATAACAATGATTTGACTGAAAAAAGGATGGGAATCTCATTCTCAATTCACTTCAATGTAATTTTGCTCGCCGGCTCATGTCGAGTCCCATTTTGGGGCGTCAGTCTGAGCCAACCCGTGTAACTCATCAGCTCAGACCATTTTTAGAGCAAAAGCTTAACTCGGCTCAGACCAAAAAATTCAACCATTTTTACTCGAGTTGAACCTGAGCATTGAGTTTTGGCTCATAGATTGGCTCCACTCGACTCGACTTGTTGACATCCTTATATATAAAGATAAATAGTAAGAGTAAGTGTAATTGTAATTGTAATTGTAAAAAGATTAATGATTGTAATGTGTAATAATGAAAATATTTTTTCAACCTTATTCCTTTGGAGGGGGCTTAATATAAACATTGATCACGGTGTCCCAAGAGATGGTAATGTATAGAGAGGACGCGTCCTTAGGATTTCTTGATTTTATAGTGAAAATCTAGAGAGTGATGTTTTGATACTGTCTGATAGTTATTCTTAACGAGGATGCCTGTTTTATGTCATTATGATTCGACCAAAATAGTCACAATTCGTCGTGTAGGTTTCCAAATTTACTAGGTTCGCTAACTTGACCACTGGGCATTGATGGGGGTTTCTCATGTTTATGTTTGAAGGGTTGCTAATGCACTCAATAGATTAATCTTGTACCTCGATGCCTTTCATAGTCATTTCATCTTTTTTGGAAGTCTCACGGATCCATTCCCTACAGTAGTAAGCCAAGTAGTCGAACTTATCACAATCAAGTAACGAACTTTTCTATCGTTTAGGCCCAAAAATTGGTTTGTTGTAAAAATATTGAAATTTTTCCCATATATAGATTTTTATTGCTACCCAATTGGTAAGTGTATTCATGGCCTTAAATAATGTCATTTTATAGTCCTTTGTGTTTGCAATATTATCTAATTTTTTATATATTATGTTTAAAAAGTAAAAGTAATGATTTGATGTAAACTTGGAGAAAACAAGCTAAAATTATAAAAGAATGGTGAAATTTGAGAAAAACGGTGAAAATGACTCGATTGTAAGAGATCTAAAGTTCATGGAATAAAAAGCAAATACTTAAAAGTTATATCTGTCAATATAAAGATTCAAGATGTGCTAAGAGTCAACTGGATGAGAAAAGAAGTCAAAAGGGCGAAACATAGTCAAAACACTATTACACATCAATTTTCAACTGAAAGAGTTAAGCTCTGAAATTTTATTCTCACATTGAAACCCATTTTTGGCATAGTAAACGTTCGAAATGAAAAAATATTACCTTTAGAAGAATTGTAACTCTTTGAATTATCTTTTCAATGTACTTTGAATCACCTCAATCAGTTATAAAAAAAAGTTATAATAAAAATATTAAAAATTGTTCAACTGTCAAAAATCAGGTGAGGCGTGCGACCTAACCTGCAGGAGAGGAGCATGCCTTGATAAAAAGGGGTACTTGTGTTTCCCGAACTAGCCAGGCATGTCCCAAGCTATCCTTAGGTGTGCACCTCAGTATGAAAATGGAAGAAAACTCGGTTTTCCTAATTTTTGTTTTGATTTCAATTCACTGCAATTTTTTTGGCATCCTTTAAATATCAAAACTCAACCATGAAACCTCCGTTCGACGTATATTTCATTATGTTTTACATATTTTGAAAGCGAAGAACAAGTCTATACATCAATTCAAGGCAAATTATACAAGAATTTTGAAAATTTATAGCCAATTTCAAGATTTGAGCAAAAAACGTAGATTTCTCATACTTCTTTCATCTTTCTTATTTTCAGGGATGCTTTTTTAATTATTCTTATGTAATTTAATTATGAGAATGTTGGCTAAATTTTTCATTGTATTAGATAGATGATGGACCTTTTTAATTATTGTTTTTAATTCAAAACTTGTTAATTTAGTAATTTCTTTAGTTTATTGATTATTTATGCATCTAGCCGTGTTTTTTGAATGATTGACCATCATTTAGATAACTTATTACCTATTAATATTGTTAGAAAACTCACAATATGTAGTACACTGTATATTTAACACACGAACAATAAATATTAAAAATAATATGTATAGCGTGTGCAATCGAGCGAAATAATCATATTATTAAATGCATGTTTTTCATACGAATTTAGACTATGAATAGGATTGGGTTATGTTAAGCATATATTTGATATTTCTTGGGAAATGATATTAAGTCCTTGTTTGAGCCACATTATTTCAACGTAAAGGCATTTTTGAATAGTGTATTGATGAAAAATGTATGTATTTCACGCGGGTCAGTCGCTAACAATTAAAAAGGGATCAGACGATTGTGTAAGGGACAAACCTCTTGAGACAAAGTCCCAAAAATGGGTGTTCTTTATTGGCGATAACTTTACAATTAGAAATTAAAAACAGAATGCCTCCAAGGGGCGCAAGCACACGAGTTACTGAAAGAAGTGTTTAAATCTAAGCTAAAAAATTTAAAATTACATGTTCTCTGTTCGAAAGTTTTTGATTCGGGGTCTTTTTGCTCTATGTCTTTTCTTCCTTTTATACTCCCTGAATGATCTCTTTGTGATCAACCGCCTAAAAACTGCTTGATTGTTCTACAACTGCCCACTTTCCTCATAATGGTCAATTTGTTATGAAACTGCCTTTTCTAACTGCTGCCATTACTCTCCGTCGTTCAACCGTCTTCAATTGAATTCCTTGAATCGTGGAACGTGATAAGGCCGCTTAATAACTGCTTTGATAACTGCGCTTCTTGATAACTATAACATTTCATATTTGCTAAGGCCTTGGACGATAATAGAGTAGCAGCTCTGGGCGACTGCATGGCACTCCATTCGCTCAGATCCTGGGTGACTTGCAAGTTTGGGCGATGATGTTTCCGCGATCATGGGCCTCCCTATTTGGGCCTTCATCCCGAATTGTCTGATTGAGCTTCGTTCTTTGGGCTATCTGATTTGGGGATTCTCCAATTGGGTTTCATTTCTTGGCCCGTTCGATTTGGGCTGAATTTTTATGTGTCAACAGTATGGTTAAAATATAAGAAAAATTTTGTATTTGCGTGCAATATTATTTTATTAAAGAATGTGTTGTTGAAATGATATCAAATCACTATTTAAGAGTGTATTTTTTTTTAAAGAATGTGGATCAAACACGCGCTAAATAAAATTGAATTATTGATTGTCATTAACGAAAAGTAATAGTACTATTATGGTCAAGAATTGGAAATAACACTAATAGTGGGATTCAGAAATCCAATATATTCATTATATATTTACTAAAAATCACACTCAATTACTTTCTTAGTTAAGATTAGATTAGAAATTCACAACAAATCTCTTTTGACGTTACTCTTTAACGAACTTGGTAATAACTAGTAGACCGAAATTAAACATTGATCATCGTAGGATGATAACTCTAAACTCACTTTATCTATTACTTGTCAACGATTCCGTATGATTGTGAATTTTGTTCGAAAAAGTTTTTGACGTCGTTATAGGGGAATAATGGTTTTAATTAGTAGGAGATTATGTGAATGCAATGCCTTCACTAGTACTTCTCTATATCATCTACTCGCCATTCAGACAAGCTAACTTTTACGTTCGACCAGATGTCATTAATCTCTTTTAGAATTATCATAACGTCAAGTTCTTTGAGAAAGCTACAGAAAATCAACATGAGCATATTCAGGCTCTTTTTATGTTGTGCGAAGTTATCAATCATGAAGGGATGTCAACATATGCATTTCGAATAATTAAAATATTATCCCACATCAATTTTCAACTGAAAAAATTATGCTCCTAATTTTTAGTTCCATATTGAAACCTATTCTAATTTTTTACCAAGTATTGTATGGCAAAAAAGAAAAAAAGGAGAAATAAAAATACTTACTTTGACATTTTCACATTTCGTTCATAAACACAGAGAGAGTTTAAAATGGGTAAAACTGCACATACATAATATTTTCAATTAAGAAATATAAACAATTTTTTAACATATTAGCAATTTAGCAACCTTTTTTTTTTTTGGGGAAATATTAGCAACAGAGTTAATCCGTTAACAAAAATAATAATAATAATAATAATAATAATAATAATAATAATAATAATAATAATAATAATAATAATAATAATAATAATAATAATAATAATAATAATAATAATAATAATAATGTTGCTAATTCATCGTATAATAGCAATAAAAATTGTTCATCGATAATTTTCCTGCCGCTTTGCTGTGTTTTATAATAGCATTTTTTTAATGTTAATA